GAGAGAGAGAGAGAGAGAGAGAGAGAGAGAGAGAGAGAGATTATTTACTTCCTTAGCCCAGGGCAATGACTGCCATCAGCTTTCCAGGGTTTCAGGCGGATTTCTTCCTACCCCAACCTGGACAGGATGGGGATTAAAACCAGAGCCTGCCATATGCAAAGCTATGATCCTTCCCTCTTTTGTACCCATACTGGACCCAGTTTACTTTCTCATGTGCAGCAGCGCAAGAGTTGTCACACCTGTGCAACAGACTCCCTGTGAGCTTGGGTCAGAGTGCCACCGAAGCCTCTTGCTGGGCTCACGCAGGAAGACGCACGACGGGACCGTGGTGGAGGAGAAGCTGTTGCTTAAAATGTCATCACCAGGGAGGTGCCTTTTAAACTAGCCCAGGCTGGAGGGCTTATTGCAAAGCAAAAATGACCGTGTAGCACTCAGTAAAATATTTCCCTCATTGGCAGTTGCTTTGAAAGTTTTGTTAGAAACATTCTGTCTAACCGTTTGAAGCTGGTGACCTTCAATATTATATTTTGTCCAACCCATATTGACCAGGCGATTATTTCTGTCATGCATTCTCTGCCCAGCGCTAGTTGGAGATTCCCTTTGGTCCGGCCCTGTTAGCGCAGGTCTGTTCACAAGTTACGTTTCCTCGCCTGTGTCTGTCAGCATGCAGGGCCGCTTACACAGACTAGACAATGTGCCACGTTTTGTAAATGTAGCTCAATCTTCCAGCATGTGAAGATGGCCGCCAATCTGGACGGCTTTGGCAGGGGCCTGGGCAGATTCCTGAGGAAGGAGGCGACCCGTGGCCACAAGCCTTTCCCAGGGGCGGCCTGCCTGCATGCACGAGTTGCCGAGGAGCCTGGGCAGGAGGTCTTGCGCACATCCTGCTTGGGGATCCTCCGGGCGGCCGGTCTGCCACCGTGCGCACGGAGAGCTGCGCTGGACAGACCTCGGGGCTGCTCCAGCAGGGCTGCTCGCATGGGGATCGCACTCTTTTACCCCGTCTTGCCGGGAGGGGGTCCCCCTTTTCCCCCACCGCCGCAGGGCGCCGCGTGCGCCGCTGCCCCCTGGCCCCGCGCCCTGCCCGCGCGCGCGCCAGGGCGTGCATGTGCGTGCACGCGCGTGCGGGAGGGAGGGAGAGCGGGCGCGGCGCGGCGCGCTCCCCTCCTGCGCCAGCCCTGGCGCGCGGAGCCTGCGCGTCTCGCCTCCGCCTGCTCGGCGCGGCCTCCGCGCGCTGCCCGCTCGCCTGGCCTGGACGCCGCCTTCCCGGCAGCGGCGGCGGCGGCGGCGGCGAGAGGCCCCGGGCGAGGCTGCGGCGCATCCACCGCCCCCTCCCGACTGGGCCTCCTCCCCGCGAGGGCCGCTGATAAGGCGAGGGAGGGGCGGGGGGCGGGGGCAGCGCGCGGCGAGGAGGCAGCCCCGCCGCGCGCGAGGCCTGCCTCCCATTGGCTGCCCTTCCCTTTGTGCGCCAGGCTGTTGCACCCTCAGCTCTACATTTGAATGTATAGAGGGGATTGGAAAGGAACCATTTCCATGGGCCATCTGTCTTCCCGCAGCCAGCAGCCGCAGCCGCAGCCGCAGCCTCTCGCCAAGCAGCCCGGAGCAGCCCCGCTAGACTGCGTGCCACCGGCGCGGGGGACGGCGGCCACCATCCACGGGTAGCGCCAGCAAGGGGGCCACGCCAGCAGCAGCTGCCCAGGATGGTTTTGGTACACGTCGGCTACCTTGTTCTTCCAGTGTTTGGCTCTGTGCGAAACAGAGGTATCTCTTTATCTGTGTCTTTTCTTGGAGAGAAATCGGATGCGACCAGAGCACGCACAGGGAGTCGGTTGGCAGGGCCGTCTGTGCTCGCGGCTTTCCCCCCGGCGGGTCAGGGGCGCAGGGAAAAGGGAAGGTATCTTTGTGTGCGTAAGCGGGGAGGGCAACGGGGGGGGGGGGGGGGGCAGAGAACCCGAGCGAGCGAATATCAGGAAGGCATATGGAGAGGAAGAGCTCTGGCCAGACGGGTGGGTGGGGATGCCCCTAAGAGGGGATCGGGCTAGGGAAGGGGAGAAGAGGATGGGGACAGAGAGAGAGAGAGAGAGAGAGAGAGAGAGAGAAAGAAACGGGCGAGGAAGGGGGTCCAAAGAAGGTTGGGGGAGAATTCGGGGGGGGGATCGTGAGACCCAGAGAGGCGTAGAAATGGCACCAAGTGGGGCGAAGAAAAGGAGAGAGCGTGCAACTCTTGAGGATCCGGGCTGTGGGGGGCGGGTGGCAAGTGTGGGGAGAGGGCTCAGGATCCAGGATGGCAGAAAAGACCATCCGAAAGCACCCGAGTGCCAGGCTGTTTCTAGCGCTGTCGTGTTACGCTCGAAGGACTTGGGGCCGTATTTTAGAGCTATTCCCCCCCGATGCTGCCGAATCATATGGAGAAGCCCCCGTATTCCCTCCCCACCACTGTCCGGTTCACTCCATTTTAGCTCTCCGGGTGAGCCCCTCCCCTTCTCCCTCCCCCGCCCCCTTTCCACCTGACAAATTTAGATCCATGCCTACAATGAACCTTGGCTGCCCCCATCCACATATACAGAACGCACAGCGGGGTTGGGGGCGGCTGGTGCGGAGACGGAAGGTTTTATGCGATGCCTTTTAGGAGCGAGAGCTAGTGGGCACACATTTTTCAACGGACTGGTTGACAAGAGCATTATGATCCCTTTTAAAGCCCCTATAAAATGCAGTGCAGGTTCCGAGCTCGTTCCGAGCCAAGCTCTCGCCCCGGTTGCCAGCTCCGCTCGGCGCTTTCCTGCTTCTGCCCCTCTGTTTTAAAAATTTACTTCTCTGGTGGAGTGGCTTTCTTTCCGAGTGGTTCTGGGAAGGTTCCCGTCCCCGCTTTTTGTTGCCTTGTGGTTCGACCAGGGGTGCATTTCCCCCCTGCAGCCCTCCTTTCCTTGGGAACAGTTCAGAATATTCAGTCCAGAAAACCGATCTATCCTCAGCAGTATTTTGATCCGGGATGTATCATGATTCCAAAACAAGCACCAGTTTTAGAATGACAACCATGATTTTTTTCTGAACAAATCTTTAATATGGGATGTGTATATGGCCATTGCATATTCCACCCCTCCCCCGCATTTCCTTATTCCCACCCATTCCCATATGCTGCCACAAACAATGGACTTGAATCTTTTGATTCTCTTCTTCCTTTATTTTGAATTTGCCCTTCTTCATGCCTTCGATTTTCTTTCTATCAAATCCAGGATGCATTTTCTCCCCCTCCCACTCCACAAGAATCTTTCTTGCCTTAACTATATAATGTTCCTCTCCCAGTAACCCCTCCCCCCGCATTTTCTGGCCTGCAGCTGGCCCAGTCCCTAGAATATAACCCAGATCTCTCAGTTTATTAAAAATCAATCAGACAAATAGTATCTTTGGTTTCCCTGATAAGCCAATATGTGCTTCATCTCTATTGAGATGGGAGTGCTTAATAAGTTGTGCACAATTAATAAAACCTAATCAGAGAACCTTTAAATGCTAGCGCTAGAATCCCACCTATTCTGCTTACCCTGGTTTAAGCCCTGTGGCGTTGGGTACAGATCGGTCCCCACTCCACCCACGGGTAAACATATTGCATAATTTCTCTTTAGGTTCCCATTCCGATTTCTGTTCAGCACAGGTGAGAAATGTGGAGGATGCTCCAATGGACAGCCAAGACACCTGGGCAAAACAGACACCAGCATTTCCCTGCTTTTGCTTCCCCTCCCCTGTCATTCAACTGTTCTTGCCTTTTTCCCTCTGCCCCCTCACCGCCCCTCCCTGTACCCAGTCTACATATATAACATAACAGCTTAAGTTTTGCACATCGTGGCATTCTGTTTTCTTTAACTGCAGCCTCCTCTAGTGTGGTGATGATGATGATGATGGGATGACGGACATTTTTGCATTGATCCAAATCTTTTTTTCTTTTTTAATTTAATTTTATTTAGTTTCTTCATCGTGTAGATCAGTAAATGGTCAACCTGCTACCCTGTGGCTTGTAGTTCTTTGCCTCTGCATTTAGCTCTAATGTTGACACCCCACCCTTCTCTTTAACCATTTCCTGTATCCATCTGAGGAATCCACTGGCATTTTAAGCTGAAGTATCCTCTTTCTGTGTGCTGCAAAGCCGAAGTGGGGTGTAGCTAGGAGGGGTGAGCTTAAATTGATGAGACTTTAAACCGGAAGGCTAATTACTCCACTTTTTCTCACCTGCTCAGTTATCCTTGCATGATCTCTCAAAATGCAAAGGATTTCTAAATCATCATTATTGCTCAGGAACAAAGCAAAGCGATTGCACCATCTTATGACTTCCAAAATGATGCTTCCCCGCCCCACGAAATCCAATGATATTGATGAAGTTACAGATGCCTTCATCAAGATCATGGCTTTTTAATGAATGGACAAGATGACATTTCCAATACAGCTATTGTAAGGGAGAAAGGACAATTGGTTATATTCTTTTCTCGGGCAAAAACCTGGAACAATAGACCATCCATTTCTCTGGGTTTATTGGCCATGGAACACACCCACTGAGAAACTGAGATACTGAGCAGGTGGCATTTGATTTGTTAAAACAAGTCTTTAATGGCTATCCGTGACTTTCTGAGAGAGGATACTGAGGCTTAAAACTGAGGTCCTAAAACATCAAGCTTTTTGTGAAAAGGAAAAAAAAAGGTAGACAGATTGTGGCTCAAACCTGTTTCTCTTTAGCTGTCGTTGTAGTAGTCTAGAAAGAAAGACAGAGAAAAAAACAGGCCATTTTCAATATAGTTCTAGTTTTATAACGCCATTTTTGTATCTTCATCCTGTTTAGCTAAGTACATTTGCACTGTAAATTCCTGTTAAGTGGATCCATTTTGCTTTAACTGTGTGGAAGATGCAGTATATTGGGGCATATGCCCCCCCAGAACATCTAAATATCTGCTCTACCATTGATTATTTCTTTGGATATTGGTTTCCTATGCAAATTGTCTTTGGGTTCATGTTAAAAGAAAAAGAAAATTCCCCCTTTCAAAACATTTGTCAAAAAGGGCTCCAAGAAATGGGTACCATGGTTTGTTTGGGGCATCAAGCCAATCGGTGGGTGAATTTATTCTCCTGAGTATTCTGCCAACGCTTTGCAATCAGCCCCTAAGAGTACTGCATCTTTTACATTGCGTATTGGACACACAGAGAGAGACGCACACAGTTGGCCTACGGCCCCTTCTCCCACACCTGGCCACCACCATTGGTTTTCCATGAAAGCTGAGCCAAATGCAGAACCTACCCCTGCCTATTTAAAGTGGGCCAATCCAGCATCTTTCCTTCCAGCTCAAAAATTGAACACCAAATATTGCCCCCCCACACACACACCACCAAATGCACCCGACTGATGGCAATTTGGATGCAGCCCTTCCTTCAGAGTTGGGGTGGGGTGGTTAACCAACCGACACACCAACCCACAACCCCCAAAAGCAACCCCAGAGCAAAGTGACCACTCACTTAGCAAAATGGTCCTCCATTCAACAGGGATAACATTCCTTTCTGCTGTGCTGAATTTTTTACTTCCTGTTCTTATTTTGTGGGTAAATTTTTTTCTGTATCAAATATCCTTTGGTTGTGTATTTCTTCACCTTTTTTCTTGTACTAAAACTGAAGCATGGTCTGTATTTTTTTACATTACCTAGTTTCGGATGTAAATCTCTCTGTAGAGACATACCCTGCTGAAATGTAATGTGCCCGACACATTTGCTCATTGTATGCTGCTTCTCTTCTGTTGCCCCTCCACGGCATGGTGGGCACCGTTGCCTTTTGTATTGTGTGCATGACAACATTGTTACAACACAGTTCCACTAATACTAATATACAATCTCTCAATAAAGAAACTAGTTTTCCTATATTAACCTAGTGTGCTTTTTCTATTGCTGTTTTCCCCCATTTATTGTTGTATTCCCGCTGTTTTTAGATTATTTCCCCCTCCTGCTTCCCTTCCCCCTACACGCCTCCTTCCCCATTTGAGTGAATGGATTTTTTCCTTTTTTTTTTGGTGCCACGGATATGGGCGGGGCGGGGGGCTGTTCAATGTTCTCTATCCCATATCTGCCTTCGAGCATTAGCTTGTGAATATCAACTTTCTAGATACACATCCTATATTATAATTGCTCTTCCTATGTGGACAGGACTCTTGTGCCTTTGTATCCCTTTTCGGACCACAGAATGTCAAGAAAGAAAAGATTTCTCTGTGTGTAGCGTATAAAACACGCACTGAGGACGATTTTGAGAAGTTAAATGCAGAAGGAAGTATTGATTGCATCCCTGTGAAAGGTTTTCCATATTAGTTAAAATCTGCTGGAGGTGGGAAGTCCTAACACTAGCCTGGATGGGAATGAAAGAGAGAGAGGGGGAGAGAGAGAGAGAGAGAGAGAGAGAGAGCTTCATTCCTTCCTATCTTCATGAACCTCCCTTTTCAGTTGGATGAAGGGTGTTTGCTCAGTCCTGGAGATGCAATTCTTGAGGTGTTGGTTCTGACCGATGACCTTGGGAAATCTGTTGGAGGGGTGTGTCGGCAAGCTCAGCGAGATGCAGGGTGGGCGTGGGAGGCGAGGAAGAGGGAGGTTCAAATGGGCCCCCAAAAGGCGAGTGTTCTTCCCCACCCTTGTCATATGTGATCAAGCTCCAGATAATTGTAAGCCTTGGACAGGACGGGAGGCAATTAATGCGAGTTTTTCAACTCGAGGTGTATGTAGACTTTTTTCTCCCCCAGTGTATAG